CCCTTGTACTCGGCAAGCTTAGAAGAGTCATCTAGCTTCCTGAAGTCCTTTGTCTTCTGGGCGAGATCTTTGCGCTGGACGAGTGCATCGCGCTGCTGAGCGACGATGTCAGATGCGGTACTGTCTAGCTTTGCGACCGTACTGGCGAGATCGATACCTATATCAAGGGACTCGTTAGCTGCCGGCTACTTCGGCCCCAAATTCTAAGATCGAGGCGACAAACCTCGCCAGGCCGCAATGGCACGCTGGAACTTGTTGGCTCCTTCCGGTAACTTGCCGGCGGCGGGCTCGGAGTTGTGACCATCCTGGCTATTGTCAGGGACAATGCCTTCGGTAAGGGCGAAAGCGTCCATGGTTGAGATTTGGGAATAATCCGCTTCAATGGAGCAAGAATCAGCGCAACACCCCCATCCAAGACCGGACCGGCAACACCACGACTATCCAGAGAGGGACAAGTAAATGAAGCCAGTTAATGTGAAACTACAGCAATGCGGAGTGACACGCCGACCGGGCCGATGATCTTCCGAAGACAACAATGAGCAGAGATGCCCAATCGCGTGATGAGATGGCGTGTATATGCAAGGAAGAGGTGTCCTCTTTATGACAAGACAAGATACTGATAGTCAGGATTCTAGTGAGTTGACAATTCAAGATGAGATTCTCCTGGATCGATGCCGGTAGGTTCCTATCCGATCGTGGTTCAGCCCCGTTATTTATAGCGGCCACGTTCGTCTCAGATAGGGCCTTTTTCAGGTAAGGATATGCTGAAGAGATCCCGAGGAAGCAGTGGCTTGAGATGTATCATATGTGCTGCCTGCAACCTAAAGTCTGCCTCGTCAGTGATGATGAAGCAGCTGAAGCCGTCACAATTGCAGTCAAGACAGCTTAATCATCAAGACGCAGATCGATGCTTATACTTGCACATAAACACAGAATTGGATCAAGCAGACAGTATTCATGAAGTAGAAGATGACTGCCCATCAATTGCAGTTCTTCACAAGATATGACTATAGTTAAAGTGATAGACTGATAACTAAGTGCAATCATAGAATGGACTCCACCTGAGTCAGCAGATAACCCCGGGCGGGCCCACCCGCGCCCAGCCTCGCCCGACTGAAGCTCCTCCCAGTTCCTGTCCTGATCTTCCTTCCCCTCACGTCTCCATCTTGTCAGGAACCATCTCTCAAGACACCGAGCTGGCCTCATCATGGTGTCGGAAGAGGAGGGCATCAGCCCGCGCAAAAGGCGGAAGATTGGCCCTCCAAAAGCTGCACCTTATGTGTTCCGGTCTCTCTTCGACCAGGTGCCCTTGAATGCGGACAATGATGACGATGAAGTCCATATCACCTGCGTCGAGTATTGGAGTGCGTCCAGCATTGTTGATGATAGAGCCAAGCTAATTGGATGATTTCTAGATGACAATCTATACATTGGTACCTCTGCCGCCGAGATCCTGCATTTCGTCTGCCTTCCACCGGACCCATCGGACAAGTCGAACGAGCCATCATTCATCCTCGCCTCAAGACTACCAATCCCTTTCTCCCAGCCTCCGTCAGCAAAACTTCCGGGAATACAGCAAATTGTGTTACTGCCAACGGTGAACAAGGCGTGTGTGCTGTGCAATGGAACGGCTACATTCTACATGCTGCCGGAGCTCAGTCCGGCCTTCGGGAACACCAAGGTTAACAACTGTCGCTGGATCGGTGGGTTGGACTTGAATGCAACGGATGAGTCGGAAAACCCAGTTATCATGATCGCCGCCCAGAACCGCATGATGTTGGTCAGAATTGGCGATGATGCTCGACGGATAAGGAACATTGAGTTTCCTGGCTGCCTGGTGGCGGCGCGGAGAGGCATAATCGCCTGCGCTGCTGATACACATGCGTACTCTTTATTGGACGTGGAAAACCAACAGAAGATCCAGCTCTTTCCTGTCTCATTTTCCAGCGAGGCATTCGGCTCGGGTCCTGCCGGAGACAGATCTCCCTCGTCACCCTTCGCAACCTCGCCGCTGGAGAGCCAGCATGACAGAGGCTCCGGTCCAAATCCGTTCGCTGGGATGCTGCAGCCAAAGACTCATACCTCACCACATGATAGGTCTAGCTCTGTTACGCCAGAGCTGTCTCCTGCTGGAACTCCGCGACAATCTATTTCGAAAGACCGAGCCGGAAGTGCTTCTCCGAGGATATCTCCAACCCACTCGACCCGCGACTCCCAGTCAAGTCCCGATGACCGAAAACCCCTTCCACCCATACCTAAGCCGCCCACACAGCTGAAGCCTCATGTGCTGTCACCGACCTCGTCGGAGTTCTTGCTCGTTAGAGGAACCGATACAACTGAGCCCGGAGTTGGCATGTTTGTTAATGTAGATGGCGATGTGGTCCGTGGTACGATAACATTTCACAAATACCCCGAGTCAATTGTGATCGACAAGGGCGACGAAACTCATATGATACCATCACCGGAGAACACGCAGGATGAGCTTCTTCTGGCGGTTATAGAATCAGAACAGGATGGCCAGAAACGGAAGTTCCTGGAAGTGCAGCTCTGGGATGTCGATCCCGGGGAGGCGGAGGACCACAAAACCTGGGTAGAAATACCGTCGGCCAACGACATGCAGACTACCCATGCTGGTCTGTGCCATACAATTAGCCCAAGCAAGCTCGAGGTATCTGAACTGGGGAATCTGCTACGTATGGTTCGTCTAAAAACTCCGTTGTCGCCCCATGTACCGGCAGCCGACCCACGAACGCAATCATCGATCGAACATCTGCAAAAAGAAAAGGAGCTCTTTGAGGCTCAAGAATTGACGGACTCAGAAGGCTCAAAGGAGCGCGGCTGGGAAGCGGAAAGAAACGCCGAAGAAGCCAGGTTTGCGCGTGAATTAGGCCAGACGCAAAGCAGCATGGTGCTGTGGAATGGCAACCAGATATGGCGGGTGGTGAGAAATCCACTGACCACACAGCTCAATGATGCTCTACAGGCGGCTCAGGAGACAGGCGCTCGCGACTCCAAAGCTTTCCGGAAAGCAGTTGCCGATATCATTCATCATGTCCAGACAACGGATCCCAAGTCTGAATCGGAATTCTTGGGCTTGAATTATGTGAAGCAGAAAGCAAGCCTGCTTCTTTTCGCAGACCTCATTTTCATGGACCCGACTGTCCGAAGCGATGCGATCATTGATGACACAGAGCGAGCCCTCATAGTTGGAGAACTAGATCCGCGTATTGCGTTGCTGCTAGTTCCCCTCTTGCGACGCGAGGTTCTCCAGGGCCCGCAGGGAATCTGGGTTCATGCTGGTCTTGCTGAGGTCACGGAATCCTACGTGCAGCGGCTCGACAAGACAGAGAATAGCGGAGCTTCCGACGCAGCAGTTCTGGATATGATCAAGCGGTTCTTATTCTCCTGGCAGCAGAAGAGGGGTTACGGCAGTATCACGGATGAAAACTATGTATTCGACAGTGTCGATGCAGCTCTTCTGCACCTGCTTCTGGAGCAAGATGCACAATTGTCAGCCGAACAACGCGCGAAGTCTTCTATTCGCGCGGAATTGAACCGTCTAGTGGACAACTGGAAGGGTAGCTTTGACCGGGCAGTGTCGCTGCTGGAAAGCTACCGGCGCTTGTTTGTGCTCAGCCGTTTGTATCAGAGCCACAGAATGTCGGGGAATGTCCTCAAAACCTGGCGACGGATCATCGATGGCGAGGAGGATCGCGGTGGTGAGGTCACCGTGGGTGGAACCGAAGCGCAGATGCGACGGTACTTGGTCAAGATCAAGGACGCACAGTTGGTGGAGGAGTACGGAGCATGGCTGGCCCAGCGCAATCCTAACTTGGGAATCCAAGTGTTCTCCGACGGCACGAGCCGGGTCAAGTTGGAGACTACGGATGTGGTCAGCTTGCTCAAAGAGCGCGCGCCAAACGCGGTGCAGGTGTATTTGGAGCATCTCGTCTTCGTTCGAAATGTAAGCGCCATCCTCATTTATTTGAATCATGCTAACACGTCCAGCACACCCAATACGCGGACGACCTACTCTCCTACTACCTAGACACCGTGCTCTCCGTGCTTGAGTCCTCCCCAGAAGCGCGTGCATCGCTCGCAGAATCCTACTCTACGTATCGCGCCCTGCAGCCACCCAAACCCACCTACATGAATTTCATCACCGAAAACACACCCGCCGAGCCATGGTGGCAATCCCGACTCCGCCTGCTCCAACTCCTCGGAGGAGGCAGCGGCGGACACTTTACCTCCCTGCCCGCGCGCAACCTAACATACTCCATCCCAGCGGTGCTCGCGCGGATCGAGCCGTTCCAAAACGAACTGGTATCAGAATCAGTGATTCTCGACGGCCTACAAGGCCGACACCGCGAGGCACTCCACCTACTCACCCACGGCTTGGGCGACTACGACTCCGCGGTGCGATACTGCCTCTTCGGCGGCCCGCGCAGCACCAGCACGACAGGAGCCTTGGTCGAATTCGCCGAGCGCCCCCTGCAATCCGAGCTCTTCCGGTACCTGCTGGACGAGTTCCTGCTGATCCAGGATCCATCCGAGCGGCTCGAGCGGACAAGCGATCTGCTGGGCCGATTCGCAGCGTGGTTCGACGTGGGCGAGGTGCTGCGCGTCGTACCGGACGAGTGGAGCGTGGACCTCCTGAGCGGGTTCCTGGGGCATGTGTTCCGGGTACTGATTGCCGAGGGACGCGAAGTGCGGATCGAGCGGGCATTGAGCGCGGGGCTGAACCTGCGCATTGGAACAGAGTATATCGCAGGAGTGGAGAAGCTAGGTGGCTGGGTGGAAGACGAGAGTGGACTGCGCCGACTGAAGGATGGCGGAGCAGCAGCGGAGGGAAGTGATTTCGGAGAGATGGTGAATGCCGAAGCCGAAGCCAACACCAATGTCCACATTAACGAATGATGTATATACCTAATAAAGAATACATTCACATGACACTTATCAATTACATGACCCAGACCATACCAAAGAAAGGAAAAAGAAAATCAATCCAACTCCGGCACCGGCAACCCATTAACAATCCTGACCTTCCTCCCCAACTTATCCAACGCCTCCTTGGAATTCCTCGCCCTCAACTCACTCGTCTCCTCATCACTCACCAGCACAAAGTCATAAGTGAGGAGGGCATGATCCTCCGAAACCCCATACTTGGCCGCATACTCCGGCCCGGCCTTACCAATATCCACGACCAGCGAATCCTTGACCCCAAAGACGGCATCAGAAGTCTCATAGGGATCATTCCGGAGATACAGCGCCCTACACCACACACAGTTAGCCCAATCCCATACCCATACCCACATCCCCCCCTCCCCTCCGGAAAGAAAGTACATACGTAATCAAATGATCAAACCCCCCCTTCTCAAACATAAAATGCATATGACTCGGCCGATACGGATGTCTCCCCAACAACTTCAACAACTTCCCAACCGGCCCATCATGCGGAATCGGGTAGGGGACGGGCGTGATCGCCTTGAACCAGAACACTCCCTGGTCATCAGAAGTCATAATGCATCGACCGTCAGGTCCATCCCTCCCGGGGTACTGCACATCATAATGGCCCGTCGAATCCGTCTCCCAAATATCGATCTTCACGTCTTTCACAGGCTTCCCGTGGGTATCTTTCACCGTGCAGACGACGAGGAGGGGCTCGCCGGCGGGATCGTGGCTGATGCTGGCCCCCGGGGTGAGGGGCTCGGCGTCGTGCGTGTGGAATGGGCCCAGGACTGTGCCTTCGGTGCTGTTGGGGGGTTTGGGGTGGTCGATGGAGTCGACGAGGATGGAGAGGCCTAGTATATCTGAGAGGAGGATGTATTCCTGGTGTGGTTTTGGAGGGTTAGTAGCTATGGAAATTGTGGGGGAATTGGTGGGGGAAGGGGATATATACCTGTCTAACATCCGAACAAATCTTGCCTACTTCCGTGAGGAATCTCAACCCGGTCATCCATTCGTCCGTGCTAAGACGGGTTTCTCTTGCGAAGTCGTGGAGGTGTGTGACGAGTCGCTCGAGAATGTATTTCAAACGTTCGTCTTCACAGAGCGAGTTGATTCGGATCACGTTCTCGGTGATGTTGTCGACCGTTAGGTCTTTCATTGGGGGGATTTTCACTTTGCTGGGGTCCATCTTTCTTTTCTAATCTTTTCTCTTTTGGTGTAGTTATTTGGGTTAAGGGTGAGGATGCAATTGGGGAGAGGAAGAGGCACAATTGCACTGGATATGGAGATGGGTTGGTGGGGGGTGTTACTCTTCTATATGTTGACTGCGGGGACACCCCACATTTCCGATGGTGGGTGGTGGGTGGTGGGTGTAAATTGAGGGATGGTTATTGGTTGGGTTGGTTCGGATACGCTGCTACGTAAGCATCACTCAGCGAGGAGGGTCGGCTATGGCCATTCCCGAGTTCATTCTTATTGAGTGTTCGGATTTATGGGTTTAGGGATATATGCGTGTATTGGATCGAGGGATCGGGACGATCTGTGGGGTGCATGTATTGACTTCTCTTTGCAGTTTGCACGTAGTCATTGTATTCAGTAGTAGTGCCTGTTGACTGTTCAGCCTGTATGCGGGGTGCGGATCGCCCATCGGCAGTTGGTGCCGCGGCGGGAATGACAAACTCCGACACAATTATTCCCTGGTTCTGTACACTGTATGCATGCAGTCACATTATGCTATGCCCATCCATGCTATCCAATATCCAATATCCAATCCATCCAATCCATCATTCATCCAGAATTCAAACCGGTATATCCGCTAACTCGCTCAATCAAAAACCTAATTACAACTCCCTGTCCAAGTACCCATATCCAATCCATAATGTCCAAACAAAGTCGGGTCGTCAAGCTATGCCCGCACCAACTTCCGCTCCCGCTCTCGTTCTCGTTCCTGCTCGCGCTCCCGCTCCCGCTCATTGCTCACTTCATGTCCCTCCTTCACCGCCGCCGCCACCCGCGTGTGGTGGTCCACCGTATCCAGAATTGCCTGCATCAGCCGCTGGTTGGCATCCGGGTCGTCGTCGTCCGCCTCCGCGTGCCGATGCAGGCTGACTCGTCGCTCATGGCTCATCCCGCTGCTCCCATGCATCTCGCTCATGGCCCGCCGCGGTGACGTCTCCTTGGCTAGCGCCATCCCCGCAACCGGTCCTCCTGTCGGCGCGGACTCGCGGCGCACGCTATACTCGGACGGCACCTCGCGCTCACGAGGTCGCTGCTCCGTCTCGGGCAACATCGGTCCAGACACCGGTGTCGGGGCCGCCGTCGACGGTGGTGCTGCCACGGGAGTAGGCAGTGGATGGGTCGAAGAGGCCTCCTTGGACGAAGGCGGCTCCTCCGCTCGTTCCCGGGACGTACGGTCGACCCGTGTCTCGCGCAGCTCGTCCTCCTTGACGTCCTTCCAGGAACACTTGGCATGCTTCTTCGTGCACCCCATGCAGGCAGTCAGGTTCTTCAAACAATCCATGTGTAGCCGGCGACACCGATCGCAGGGCGGCAGGATGCGCTCGCCCCGTGAGAGTTCTTCCATGCGCGCCACCATCTCCATCTTGTGCGGGCCGCCGTCATCCTTTTCGTGGTGGTGGGACTTGGGCGGTGGCAGAAGCGAGGAGGGTGTATTGGGAATGGCAACCGTAGCGGGTGCCGGAGTGTACAAGTTGTAGTCCGCCGCATCCGACGCTCGCGGCCGCGGCCGGGACGACTGCCGACTACTGGAGCCGGGGCCCTCTTCATAGCTGCGCGCCTGGCGATCCTGGGTAGTAAAGAACTTCTTCATGAGCTCGGCGCGGGTCGTCGGCGAGGCGCCTTTGATAGAGGTGCCGTTAATGATAGTAACATTGTCCGTATTGGAATGCGAGAACATAAACTGCGACGACAGCGCATTCTCCTCCACAGTGGCTTCTCCGCCGCCGGGCCGGCCGGCATTCACGGCAACAAAACCAGTGGAGGGAGACTGGGCGCTGGCAGGGGTGCTACCATTCGGGTTCTGAGCATGGCCATTGGCATCGCGCCACGCAGGGCTGATGGAACGATGTTGTTGCTGCTGTCGCTGCGAGTGGAGCGACATGTCGTTCTCCCGACGGGTGACGATTGCCGTCCGGCGGTTCTTCAGACGGTGATTCAGTTGTCGGGCGCGGGCAGACACTAGCAACAATGGTTAGTTTAGCTTGTAGAAGATATCCATGTCAGACATACCCTGGTCGGCCATCTGGATGATCTGCTGGAGGTTCTTCTCCAGAATCTCCAATGCGCCCAATTCCTTCTCCTCATCCTCAATGATCGGCTGCGGGGGGATCATCTTCTGGGGCATCCCCGAGGCGATCAACACAAAATCCTCCTCGCTGATCTCCACCCGACACTGCTTGGTGTAGAATTGACACACTCGCACCCCGTTGCGCGATTTTTCCAGGTTGAACTGCTCGGGCTTGTTCTTGGCAAACTCGACCACATCCAGCCAGGTCACATTCGGGGAGTCCTTGCCATGCGACTTGAGCACGCGAGGCGGCCCATCGAACAAGCGCTCGAAGCGCTTGATCAGGATGGGCCCCAGCGGACAAGCGCCCAAGTTCCCGGCGATGCTTTCGTGACGATGTAAGACGCCGTCGTACTCGCCAATGAGATGCACAATGGCGGGCATAGTATCATCGACGGAGACGAGAGGAAGGTTATCCGGGTATTGGCGGGCGAGGTAGTTGATCTGCAGGTGATTCGAATGGGTTTTGGGAACCTTGGACGCGATAGGAGGGAAATCGCCGGAAGGTGAGCGCGGTCGTTTACTGGACGGCTCAGCCGTCGCGGTTCTGGACTCCATGGTGATGCCGGAGGTAGTAGGCGACTCCAAGGAGGAAGTGAGGTAGGGAAATCCGGGTGGATTGCGACAAAGCGAAGAGTCGCGGAAAATACGGGGCAGGGAGGGGGGGAGGGATAAATGGGAGGAACCCAGAGAGGAAAAAAGGGTTTATAGAGGAAATGAGTAATGAGAATACTGGCGAAAGACGGGCTGCCGATGGCGGAGCATCAGGCTCCAGAGTGCGGGTTCAGGTTCAGCCACTGGGCAGCGCGTGCTGCGTTCGAGTTAGGTAATCGGCGACCCCAACGGAAAAAAAAACTTGGGAAAATTGGGGGAGGGGGGAGGATCCAGTGTCGGAAGGGAGGAAAATGTGGGGGAGGAAGAGTACCCAGAGAAGAAAGAGTAGAGAAGGGAAGAAGTGGGAGAAAGAAGAGGGAGTGGAGGGGAAGGGGAGGAGGAAGAGGAGAAGAGGAAGAAAGAGAGAGAAGGATGGAGAGGAGAGAAGATAGGAACCGGAGAGGAGGAGAGGGGAGAGGAGAGAGGAGGGAGGGAGGAAGAGGAAAAGATGGGGGAGAGAGAGAGAGAGAGGCAAGAGAAGGAAATGTTAGGAGGAAGACGAACCGACAGGCAAAGGCGGACGGAGTTACGGCCGGGAGGAAGAGGGTTGGGGGAAGCCGTTGACCAGGTTAGTTTCTGAACTAGTAAGTAATGAATGATAAAAAAGGCGCAGGATAAGGACTGGATGGGACGATATCTATTTCTATTTACTAACAACTAACAACTAAGTACTACTAGCTGTAGCAACACCAGCAAAAAAGAATGTCCCAACCCGCAGCAGCAACAACAACACTAATCGATTGCAGGGACGGGATGGTGGAAGTGATGGCCAATGATACCGCCGAATGGATGCTGGTGACGCTGTGGATGGCGGAACGGGCGAGAGGATGGGATGGGATTGATAGGGAACTAATGAAAGGACTGGCAGAGGGAGTGACTGACGGACAAGATAGTAGTAAGTTACCTTCTGGAGATGCCGAGTGGACCGAGCTAAAAGGCCTGCAAGTGGGTGATGGCGATCTTCCGCAAAACAAATTGGTAGCCTGATCGCGCCTGGCCGATAGGGATGTCTTTCTTCTGTCTGTCTGTCTGTCTGTCTTGTATCCCCGCTGAGTTCCTGCGTGATCCGAGTCTTTATCTAAAATGGATTACCCCTTCCATAAACCATAGACTGGGGCAGTCTCTTGATTGACTTACGATGGCTAACAACACAGCAATCACTTCCACTCCTCTCCTGCCAAACCTAGCGAGAGGAATTGACGAGTGACCGGTTATCGCTTACCTAAGGTAGGGCGGAGTCCCGCCGGGCTCTTCCGCTGGTCATTTAACATACATAACATGTCATAACCATACGTCAATACGCCGCCCATGCGCCCGTTATCAAGGCAGTCCAGGCCGGGGCATCGAACCGACAACTTTCCAGTAGGGCCGGTTATTGGGGCCCTTGTTTGGAGTAAATAGACACCAACAATGAATGTATGTATGGCAGAAACTAGCGAGTATACGAACACACTAACTGACCCCGATGTTACATCTCCGACAATTCCCCTCTCCCCTACTCCCCTTATCATCAGCATTGACATGGTTCCGATTCCAAGCGTATGTATGTATGTATGTGTCTGGGGTTGCAATCCCCCTTGCGGCGGACTCCAGGGACAGACAAGTAAAGCAGGAGGAGGACGACTATCTGACACGTTGTCCTCTGGCGGCCAGGTGGAAGTTGCTTTGATGTTGGTGCTCCGTTTCCTTCCGGAACTTATCCAATGGGTATCGGTTTGGCTGGCGTCATGGGTTTCGTGATTGTGCACCAGTTGGAGGCCGCTCGGAACCCGGCCTGGACCAGCTCATCCTTTCGGACGGGGGTCGTGCTCCGCCCGTGCTGAGCCGGTGCCAGTCGATCAGGGAGCTTCGGGTTTCATACCCTCCCATAAGTTCTTATACTCGACTCATTGTTTGGATGTGCATGATAGCTGATGGAGAAGCCTCCCCTTCTTCTCAGTGTGAGACATTTCATAGGATCAATCGGATGTAGATGGTTGCCTAAAAAGCCTTTCATCAAACTGGACCAGCAAAGGCCGGGCTGTGATGGGCGCGTGTGTCCGACACTGGCCGGGTTCCAGCCCCCCCACGATACGCGCTAACCCGGGCCGGTGGTCAAGTACTGTCAATATCGGAAATATGACAGATGTTGTGTATTCTTACCGTCATTAATTGCCAGGAAGTTCAAAAGAGTTTTCCGATCTCCTCCTCCCAGCGTCCACAGATCCCGTGACTGGCTCAACCTCGTGATTCACGCTTGTTTTGCTTGTTGCTGCGCTGCTGCTGCTGCTACTGCTGCTTTTTGCTATTGCTGCGACGGCTGAAAATCCCTCATAGTCAGAGTTTCCTTCCAACAGCTTTGACTGACTGACTGACTGACTTCCTCCGCCCCCGTGAAATTCCCGTCCGGCCCAATTTGGCATTTTCGTCCACACCGGTGTGCCATTCCAGGGAGCTGCCGGCCAGTCCATTCCGATTTCCCCTTGTTGTTCCCATCTATTCACTAGTCTAGCTGGTTCATCTCTGCATTTCCCCTCCTTCCCCTCATTTTCTTTACCCGACACCACATTATCTAATCCACTCCCCTTCCTAATTGGACCAAACCCACCCTTTCACACATAATCTACTACTAAGTGCTTCCCCCCTCCCCAACCTAAACACTCCCTCCCAGCCAAGCCATGTCCGAAAGAGGCTCGTTCCGTGGAGGTGGTCGCGGCCGCGGCGGAGGCTATGACCGGTCTGGCGGTCGTGGCGCCCACAGAGGTGGCGGTGCTGGTGGCGGTGCTCAGCAGCAGCAGCAGGAGAAGCCCAAGAAGGAAAACATCCTCGATTTGAACAAGTACATGGACAAGGAGGTGCGCGTCAAGTTCAATGGCGGTCGTGAGGGTAAGACCCACCCTACTGTTACTTTACAATGCTTTGACTAATGATCATGTCCAGTTGTTGGTCTGCTCAAGGGATATGACCAGCTTATGAACCTGGTCCTGGACGATGTCAAGGAATCCATGCGCGGTAAGCCCCCTGCAATCTCCCCACTACTACTCCCTACTGACCATCACAGATGACGAGGGCAATGAGAACACTCGCTCGCTGGGCCTCGTCGTGGCCCGTGGCACCATCATCGTCCTGATCTCGCCCGCCGACGGCAGCGAGGAGATTGCCAACCCCTTCGTGCAACCCGAAGAGTAATCACGTGCTCTGAGGCCGATATCAGAGCAACTTGGCGGTTTGTTGGTGCCTAATGCGGTGTCTCCTTGGAGTGACCAGCCATGTGCATGCCCCGCACAATTGACGACAATGGTTGCAGCACTCGTCCGCCTCACGTCCTGCTGGATGTGGTCGATGAGTCTGCGTCTATCTCGATGTTGCCGTTCACCACGGACGGTGGACGGAATCTTACTATACACACCCTACGAAGGCAGATGATGAAATGTATTATGTGCGCCCTGAGCGTTGACTTGTACCTGCATGAAGCCATGCATAGCACAATACCAGAATATACTACATAGTAATGGCGGGCACTTGACTGCCTACAATCAGCTTACTTTCCGCCCTGTGTGTGGTCATGACATCATCCTCTGTCGTCATGAACAACCTGTCGATTCCTCCAATATGCTGCCGTGTATGATGCTGTAACCCACAATGTTAAAGTTAGTGCGTTTCACCATGATAATATTTGTATCTCCTTCATGATGTTACTGAGCATTAGGCTCAGCCCGGCAGAGGGGTCTAGGCCCAGCTGGCCTGCCCTCGTCTAGATAGAAAAAAACTGATCCCTGCAACGCAACACAACGAGCAGCATTGTCTGCAACAGACCCCATTAATATCTTCTCCATCACCATAAACTGGCCAGCCCATAATGAAAATCCCCCTCTGGGCCCTCGTGGTCTTGCCCTTCACCACCGCCCTCGTCTTCCCATTCCACCATAACCCTCTGCCCGAGCACGATGACAATAGTATCACCGTCACCGACGAGAATATAAACCCCGACCTAATCAATGGCATAACCACCACCCTCGCAACAGCCCTCGACCACCTCACAACCGACATCTATCCCACCATCGTGAACAACTACCTCAACTACAACCCTAGTGATTCACCCCATCTTTACGCCCAGCACGTCTCCGACCTCGCTCCGCCCTTCCGCCATCCCACTCCACCCCCATATCTCCGCCACCCCGCATCCAATAAGACCCTCTACGACCTCATCCTCTCCAACCCGGATACCTCCATCCTCGCCCACTTCATCCGCAACGACCATCACCTTACAACCTTTCTGAACAGTACTACCTCGACCAACCTCACCTTCTTCGCTCCCACCAACGAAGCCATCCGCAAACTCCACCACCATCACCACCAAAACCGCCATGAACATAATACCAACAACAATAAAGAAACCCACGCCCGCATCCACCACATCCTCACCTACCACGCCGTAAAGGGCTCCTATCCCATCGACAAACTCTTCCAATCACCCACCGTCCCGACCTACATCCATACTGAACATACTGAACATACCCTCCCCCAACGCATCACCGTCCGCCCAATCATAACCCGCGACCTGATGCTCAACTTCCACAGCCGCATCATCTCCCTGGATAAGCACGCCACCAATGGCATCCTCTACCACATCGACTCGGTTCTCATGCCTCCTCCTTCTACCATCACCATACTTAACAACCTTCCCTCAGAGTTCAGCACCTTTACGCTAGCACTGTACAGAACTGGTTTGGATAGGGTACTTACCAATACCAATACCCTAACCAGCAGAGCCCTCAAAAAAGCCCTACACCTCCAATCTAACGACCAAACAAAACCACAACCACAACCATCCACCTCATCCCCCCAAACAAAACCGAATGAAAACCAAGAAGAAAAAGGAAAAAGAAGAGGGTTGACCCTCCTCCTCCCCCCCAACCCCTCCTTCGTGGCAACATTCACCCCCGAAGCCCTCACCTTCCTCTTCTCCCCGGAGGGGAATAAATACCTCTCCGCCATCATGAAGTACCACATTGTGGTTGGCGAGACGCTCTACTCGGATCAGCTGTATACCAAACACGGTGATATGCTCACCTTCCCACTGGGGGATAAATCCATGTTTTATATAGAGATGGAGAGTTTATTACACAGATCTCAGTCACATAATGATAATGAAGATGATGATGGTAAAGGCAAGGCGGAGAGGCTCTTCATCGATGCGAAATGTCACCACGGCGCGTATCCATATCTCCGAATAAATGGGTACCAGGGTGTCTTGAAGGCCGGGGAGTTGTTGACTGCGGAGGGGAATGTGTTTGTTTTGAGTGGGGGGAGGGTGTTGGTGCCGCCGAGGAGAGAACACGGGAGGGAGGATGTGGGTGATGCGAGGGAGAGGGGGGATGGTGGTGGGTATTTGATGGGGGTGGAGGAGGTGAGGGAGAGGGTGGGGGGTTGGTTGGGTCATGGTGGATGATTGAATTATTTTGCTTTGTGAGGGAGATACTGAGTATCTATCGGTTTTGTAGATAGGGACGGTTAATGGTAGGGGCTTTTTTGATTTCAAGGTTAATCTATATAGTGGTGTTATTGTGCTTGTTACACTACACTGATGATATATTGGAATAAGCTGCAAGTGAACTTCAATCTCATACATTTCTAACTATGGCGTATCTGTCTTAATATTCTTCTCCGTCACTGCTGTATAAACCTGCCTTGATCCATCATCGGCCATTACATCAATAATGAAGTAGGCGTTAAGGATAAGTATCGTTGGCAGTAAAAATAGTCAATGTAGACATATCAGATCCTCGCTGGAACATAGGAAACATATTCCCTCCACCATGATTTCAATCCAAAATATCCACCCTCCCATCCATCCATCTGTCATTTAAGAATAGGCCAGCGCGAGTTGATACACTCATAACATACCATATTGGAGATATGTATGTAGCAGATGCATAGTGTCAAATCCTGTCAGACTACTCAATGCAGCCTTCTACTGGCCGAAGGCTTCAGCAGCGCCTGGAATGACGATTCCAGAGCTTTCTTCAGCTCCTTATAGCTGACCACGAAGCAACTCTGCTCGTCGCGGCTGATCAAGGTGATTTTTTCGTCGGTGCCTGCGTCCAGTTTATTCAGGCACATGATCACATGGCCCAGGTCGACGACTGGATCGCCCTGCGCGTCAACCTGGTGGAAGACGTAATCGCGGAAGATCTTCAAGAAGTACCGCTCGCCGTTCTCTGACCATTGACGATCGTGCTCGTATTCGGGTCGCTCGTTGATAAAGTTCAGCTTCGTCATGAGCCGGACGAGGCGACCGTTCTCGAGTTCGCGACTCAGGTCGGAGGTCAATTGGTCGTCGAGGTGAAGGGCGGAGTCGAACGTCGACATCAGTGTCGATGAGATGCCGGTGATAAAAATGTCAATATTCCTTTCCTGGTCCTTTTGGAGCCCGTTCAGCAGCCAGAAGACCGAGTTCTTCAGCTGCGCAGTGTATGCGCGTGTGAAGTGCTCCATGGCCTTGGTAGGGTTGTGCATAACATTGGGCTGGTTGGCGCCCAGGGTGACGATGAGCTGTCCAAAGTTGACCAAATCCTGCCGCTGCAGTTCGGCCAGAGATCGCTGGGTGTCGAATTGAACCACATCCATTATGGCGCAGGCGTTGAGACGAATGCGGTTTCGCCCAGTCAAAAGGATCTTGCTTGGGTCAATGATCCTGGCAGCCAGTTGACTGGCATGGATCGCTTTCAAAGCATTGGCAATCTGAGTCATGTAACCCCAGAGAACCTGTTCCGGGATGTGCGTGTTATGGCGACCTTGGAATCGGTTTCCGGCGCCAAGGTGTTGCTCAGCAAGCGTCTTCGACAATGGGTGATAGTCGGTGACAAAGATCAAGGAGCTGTCCTGAAAGCTTCGGCTAGTAAACGCATCGTGGACTGTCACGACACTACCGTTGCAGACACGCTTCCAAGCTTGCACGGAGCGGATGGCTTTTTCGTTCGTCAACCGGAAACCTATATACGAGTTAGTATCCTGATAACGGCATGGAAAGGATTACAGTACCCTCGAGTCTCCGGAGAGCGTAAAAGTTTCCGTCCTTACTGGACTGGGCTTTGTACACCCAGCTGGGGAAGCCAAAGATGGTAGCGTTCTTCTGATGGTTGAGATCGAGCGGGACAAGAGAGTGGAAGTAATCGACCTGAGCTGGAAGCTGAGTATCTAACATCAAGTCAGCATCGTCAACAAAACGCACTCATATGTCAGCAACGAACTTGGCAGTGTCTGGAGCGTGGCTGCCGCCTTCTTCTGCATTTCCTCCCGTAGGTCATTAGGGAGGAAAAGGTCGTGTACGTTTCGCTGATAGCCTAACGTATTCTGACTGTGAGGCCCAATCGGGGCATACATGTGATATTGGACCTAACGCTTGATTAGGATGATTTTCATACCACAGATAAAAAGTGGCTTACTGGCTGCTGGAATCCAGACTGGTTGGCGAAAAACGCTGCTCCGTTCAACGCTGCAGCAGTGTCATGCGAGAAAGGATTGGCCTGCACCGGGCCGACGGCGTTTGCTGCAGAGAGGGGATTCGGGGCGGTCACAAAAGGGTCGAAAGCGCTCGTGCTGGGAACACCGGCAGTCCCATTGCCTTGCAGGGAGCCCTAACCAATTAGCATTGCAAGCACGTACACTTCGAGCAGGATCACCACTGCAAATGACATGCGAAGCAGCCAACCTGCGTGGGGCACCTCGATCTGGCAGCCTTACCATATGTGCAGTATCAAATCCCTGAGGTACAAACTCTTGTACCTCTGCCACAGACCAATCGGGGGTCATTGTACCCGGGCGAGTAGTAGGGGTGCTGGAGTTGGATCCTGATTGTTGTCAGATTCCGCTTCGCATCCCGGAAACCGTTAGGGCATACGTGATGATATACTTCTAGGTTGGAAGGGAGCTGCGCTCGCAGCCTTGGGCGAGATCGTAGCCATTTTCTTCATGGTTGCTGATTGGGAAGTGGGCGATGATCCATTCGACGACAATATGGATGGGGTAAAACTAGGGGAGTCGACGTTCAGACGTTTCTTATTACTGCAAAATGAGTAAGTCATCCTCCTCTCTGACTCCAACATTGCGCGCCTCTCCCGGAAGTGCCAACCTGTCTGATTGATATCCTGAATTCACTTTATGCGGGTCGTGATTGAAGGCGCACCCTTCACAAGCAATCGGACGGTTAGACGGATCCTAGCGAGCATGAAGAGGAACAATAGGCAAGGAATGGCTAAGCACCTTTATCTTCGTAGCGACATCGGCCATATATGGTCACGTTGCGACACAGCGTATCTTTGGCGTTCTCTGTAAGGTCAGGATGACGACTATGTTAGCTGATACCGCCGAAAGAAGCAAAGGCCGACGGGAGCATTGAATCATAGTCCGTTGCCCGAAGCCGACATTTAAATCATAGTCCAACTAACCTCGTCCCTTCATCTTCGGAGACCCCGTACCACGACGGGCGTCTTCCAGCGTTGCAGACTTTCCCGTGGTAGCCATGATAAGTTCGTTATCCACAGTTGGGCGCGGATCAACGGACAGGTATGTCCATTGAGTCAAGAAATATCGGGCGACCTAAAATATCGAGAGGAAACCACATTCCTCTATGGAGAAGACCCGTAGACTAGCTCGACAATCCGAGATGCCCTCGGAGACGTTGTCGAGGCGATGTTTCACTGATGGCAGGGTAAATGTTCCGCAACAGCCAAGGACGGCTGGGATGGCGAGATTGGGCGCCCTTTCGAGCGTCAGACAGTGGAAACAGCCAAAACAATTGAGAATAAACGTCCGGAGACAGGAACGGACGAAGATCTCATGCCATGGATGGTGACAAGGCAGTAAGACCGCAAGGCAGCATCCGAACCAAGGGCGGCGCGGGGGGGAGGAGTGGGAGGGGGGAACTGGACGGGAGTGCGTCGAACTCCGTCCCGTGCACGGACCACTCGTGCGTCAAGCGCGCGTCTAGCGTGGCTCCCGGCCATGACGGAGCTGTCCTTCTGAGGCCAGCTAGTACTATCGTCCATTCCCCACGACTTCCCCTCCCTACCATCTTCCTTAACTACAGCCTGATTTGCATCTGTGGAGGTATTCTGCATGCCCTGAGCATTCTTTAGGAGCTGGCTACTTTTTCTTTTTTGAGCTCCCCCTCTATATTCTTAATAAATTGGCTATTCTGACGCACACGACTCCCCGCGGCTCATCTATACCTCATCATTCACGCCAGTTTCCCTGGCCTCGCTGCTCCTCTCCCAGCCATTCTGTTCATGGATGAGATCGTCAATTGACCATGTCCACCTCCGGGCTTGATATATCCCAACTCTCCGACAGCGAGAGGTCCGCTCTCGAGACGTATACTGCGGTCACCGGTCAGGAACATTCGGAAGCCATTCCTTTGTTGCGCCGCTCACAATGGAACGTGCAGGTAAGCCCGAATGACGACATACTACCTCTAGATGCCTTGGGAACTAAGCATTTGCTGCCTCCAGATTGCCATCTCCAAGTTCTTTGACGGCGAAGGGCCGGATCCCGTCGAAGAAGCCCGTGCTGCTCTCAACTCTCCTCCTCCGCGACCCGCCCGACAGACCCAAAACCTCATGAGTGATGACATTGCTGCGCAATTTACCCCGATTCCCCGTGCTGCTGAGCCAGCACCCCGGATAAACACACAGCCTGAAGACCAGTCGGTCTATCGCCCGCCCTTCATACTAGCTCTGCTGTTTACTCCGCTCAACCTCCTCTACCGACTACTCTACAGCTCCTTCCGCCTATTCGGTGCCTTGTTTCCCTTCCTTCCGCGCTTCTTTAACACGACAGCGAACCCCGCTCTTCAAGGCTCCCGGAGAAATACTAACGGTCGCCGGCCCTTGGGTCCCAAAGACACGGCCGCCCGGTTCATCCGGGAATTCGAGGAGGAATATGGCACCAACTCGATCAGTTTCCTCGAGAACGGATATAACATGGCATTGGAGAAAGCCCACCGGGACCTCAAGTTCCTCCTAGTTGTACTTCTTGCCCCTGAGCATGATGATACGAATGGCTGGGTCCGAGACACACTCCTGTCTCGCGAAGTGACCGACTTTGTGAATGACCCACAAAACAACCTACTTGTCTGGGGAGGGAATGTTCAAGACTCTGAGGCTTATCAGGTTGCCAACTCCCTCCGCTGCACCAAGTTCCCCTTCGCAGCCGCTTTAGTCCATACTCCCAACGTTTCCTCCAATGCGATGTCGGTTGTGTCGAGGATATCGGGAACAACGTCCCCTGCGGAATTTGTGGAGAAACTTCGATCGGCCATCTCGCAGCACAAGGAGCCTCTCGAGCGCATCCGGTCAACCCGGGCAGAACAGCAAGCTTCACGCAGCCTCCGTGAACAGCAGGACTCCGCCTACGAGCGTTCTCTGGCCATCGACCGCGAGCGGGCGAGACAGAGGCGGGAAGCTGAGGCGGCCCGACAGAGGGAAGAACAAGAGGCGGCCGAACGTCAAGCGGCCGAGGAGAAGCGCATACAGGATCTTCAGCAATGGAAGCAATGGCGGGCTCAAACCATTCCAGAGGAGCCTGGACCGGACGTCAAGGACGCTGTTCGCATCAGTATTCGACTGCCTTCTGGCGAGCGTGTCATCCGCAAGTTTGCGCCTGACGCGTCGCTTGACGAGCTCTACGCGTTTGTTGAATGTTACGATATCCTGAAGGAGCCAACAGAAAAGGCTGCAGAAGGAGTGAAGCCGGAGGGCTTCGAACACCAGTATGGGTTCCGGCTGGTTTCACCCATGCCGCGGGTGGTCTACGAAGTGGAAGCTGGGGGATCAGTGCGGGACAAGATCGGCCGAGGAGGGAACCTTCTAGTCGAACCGATCGATGACGGCAGCGACGAGGAGTCAGAAGAAGAGGCATAAGCTCTTGGACCCACGGTTGTAACTGTATTGTTTCCGAATCCTGGCTGCATGGCGCAATAATGGAGCTGTCGGGGTGATTTGCAGATACTTTCCAGCACTTTGACTATCTTAGTATGTAATAACAAAGATCACGATAATGACACGGAACAACAAGGTGCCAACGGGCCCAGTGACGCTATGCCACCCTGCAGAAAGAGCCTCTGTGCGTGGGAGTGGTTCCCAAACTCAATTTCTTGTACAAGATACTTTGAGTAGTGAGTGTGGTCATGTGCGGTTGATTCTCGCCGGGGAGGCCCGACAGCACGGGATCTTGGCCATCCGAAGGCAGACCGATGCTGATGCGTTACTAGCCTCAATTTTTTGTCTGCCAATTAGAACTGCTAGCTGCGTGTATGAGACATGATGAGCTCGTATGAGTCACATTGTTATCATTGTCGGGACTGCATGCTGATCCTGCCGTGGTTTAACTTACCGCACTTATAACTTTATATTGATTTCGGAATGATACAACACCCGATGGGCGCGAAGTCAGGACCCCGCGGTTCCCGAAAAGGGCAATCCCGCCAGTGATGATGCTCGGAAAGATTAGGCAGGGAGGAGCACCTACGTATTCATTCATATATTGGGCATGTTAAGTAAAGAATCTCACCGTGTTGGGCGGTGATTGGAAAATGTCCGGAGCTTGGACTCGAGTCTGGAGACGAGTCGGTGCGCTCTACAATGAAGGTAGGCGCACAGGGATGTGTGAAGAATATCCACATAGTTGATACATAGCCTGCTGTCAACTTAGGACCACAGGTGCCACATATTCAGCCCTCTCAGCAGCGATCATCTGTGGAGTGAGTTTATGACACAGAGCCGCTCTTATTTTGGTCCGTAAATGAGCTAGCTACCTTCAGGCTGCATATCTATAACTCCAAATCGTGCATTAAGCTTCTCATGTTCGAGCATAGCTGAGTCATTCATATAGAAAAGGGTGCATTAGGATCTGTACCGCAACATCGGATCGTGAGGTCTCCGATACGGTACCGTAAAGGGGGCAATTAGAGACTAAATGGCCGGGCCTCGGAAGGCTGGAGTCCCGCCCCACTCCGCCCCACCCAGAAGCTGCCATTCCTGTTTGGGACAATGGCCGCTCAGCCCCGAACCTCGTTTTCGCCACGTTTTAGGGAAAATTCGCACACTTGGAAGTCTGGAAAACTGGGTTTGCTTATTAGCCATCGGGATGAGTCTTACTTGACTCAGCTCCTGATTTAACTATTGCGCGAAGGATCCGACCCCTTATGTGATGATTCAGGATTCTTGTTAGTTGCTACGTAGCGTAAGCTTCTCGATAGGTCTATGTGCAGGCTTGTTTTGTTTTACTTTCTTGGTGGGTTTCTCAGGAATTTTTTCCGAGTACCTAACAATAGCTTGTGTGACATGAGCGACATGTGACTAGTTATCACTTATCTTCATGCATGCAAGCATCATGCCTAATATTGCCTGAAGCATACTTGATGTTGCTGAAGTACTACACTATACAATGTCCTTTATGGCGGTGTAAGAAGAGTAAAAAAGTAAAGCAGCTAAAATTCAAGCATTGTGATGATTGAGATCTCTGTGGCAAACCGTCAGGGTCTACTTATCACCATGGCCAGTGACCGTTACCAATGTCAGGGCTAGAGACAGATGATATAGATAGATCGCGGGAGCTCAATAATTTCCGTCCCCAGATCAAAGTAACATCGGACTTAGTAGCTAACAGGGGTATTGAGGTGGGTATCTCCGGGACCACCAGAAACCTTAGTGTAGTGCTCTGTACTGAAGTGTTGGACCTTTGCAGAGGGACGGCCTCGTTTAGTCTGGCGTAAACGGCGTATTGTCGTATTGCTGCCGGGGGGAATACGCACGGAGAGGCCTGCTTGAAGGTACCGAGAACAAGGCCCACCACCGGCGCAGTCAATCCTGGGATCCGCCCGGATAACCTCTCGTTCCTGGTCCCGATTCGTCCAGAAGCCTCTTCTCAAAACTTTCCATCTCAAGTCGCCATTCTGCGCTGCCTAACACTAAAAACGGGGGGTGAAGCCCAGACCTCTAAGACCCGCAACCCAAGGTTTTTCTGTCGCCCTTTTTCCTCTTTCATTATTCGCAGATATTACTTTGCAACTTACAATTTAAGAGTGTTCAGTGTATTACGGGGCACACGTCTTTTGGAGGGGGGGCCGTTTTCTAGTAGCTCCAGGTACTGGATACTTTTTATGCTTAGCGGCTGCCACTTATTTCTCGACTGCTGCTATCTATCAATTATTCCCTCCCCCTCAGTTTCACCTGTCACTCTTTCACTCGCCTCCACGGAGGATATCTCCCCCCTTCATCTTTCTTGATATTCCTGATATCTATTCTTATAATTCTGGATATCTCTCCTAATCGTCTTTTCTCCACATCTCCTTCTTTTTCTCTCTCCTCATACTTTTCTCCTATGCTATTGGCATCCTCTCGTTGACCGGCTCAGTCTGAGACTGCGTGTCTCCATATCTAATCACCATGTCGCTTCTAGGCACTATAAATCCTAATTTTAATCCCGGTCGTTCGGTGGAATCCCACGGCGGCCATGAGAACGAG